GCTCCCGCGCCACATCCCCTTCCCGCACCCTGTCCCCGCTCATGACCGTGTCCCCGCTCCCACGCTGTGCCCCTGCTCCTGTGCCACGTCYCCTTCCCGTGCCACGTCCCTGCTCACAACAATATCCCCCTTCCCGCGCCCTGTCCCCGCTCACGCCACATCCCGCTCCTGCACCATATCCCCCTCACACACATCCCCATTCACACGCCGCGTCCTGCTCATGACGTGTCCCCCTCACACACCATGTCCCTGCTCGCACCACGTCTCCACTTGTGCACCGTGTCCCCCGTCCCGCACCACGTCCCGCTCACGCGCCGTGCCCGTAGGTGGGCTGCGAGGACGGCTCCGTGCAGCTCTTCCACGTGGTGCCCGGCGGCGTGCAGTACGAGCGCAGCCTCGAGCGGCAGCAGGGTGAGCGGCGGGGCCGCGGGGCGCGCAGGCGGCCGGGGCGCCGCTCAGCGCTGCGCCCCTCTCCGCAGGACGCGTCCTCTGCCTGGCCTGGCACCCCTCGGGCGCCCGCATTGCCACCGGCTCCGTCGACCACCTGCGCGTGCTGGACGTCGCGTCAGGTAACGAGGCGCCCTGAGCACCTACAAGCACCTGGCGCGATGGGGGACACCCCCGGGGGGCCCGGGCGCCCCCTCCAGCCCTGCTGTCCCCGCGCAGGCCGCGCCGTGCAGCGCATCATGGTGAACTACCACACGCCGAAGGGCAAGGCGCCCGAGTGCGTGGTGTGGAGCGTCGCCTTCCTGGCGAGCGGCGCCGTGGCCAGCGCCGACTCCTTCGGCCGCCTGCAGTTCTGGGACTGGGACACGGGCACGCTGCTGGAGTCGCATGCCGTGGGCGCCTCCGCCGCGCTCTCGCTGGCCGTGTCCGAGGTAGGCGCGTGCCGGCGGCGCCCGGCCGGTCGCTGCCCCACGAGCCGACGCTCTGCACCCGCCAGGAGGAGGACAGCATCGTCGTGGGCACCTCGGCGGGGGCCACCTACCAGTTCCAGCTGCTGCCAGTGAAGATGGGCAGCCAGGAGAAGCGCTGGGTGCGGACGAAGCCCTTCCAGTACCACACGCACGACGTGCGGGCCGTGGCGCACAGCCCCACGGCGCTCATCTCCGGAGGTGGGGCCGCGGGACGGCGGCGCGKGGTGGCTGCCCCGCCGCCCCTGCTCACCGCGCTCCGCTCGGCCCGCAGGCCTGGACGGGCAGCTCGTGATCCGGCCGCTCATGGAGCGCGTGCAGAAGAAGGGCTACGAGGCGGTGCTGCGGAAATTCACCTTCCCGCACGTGAGTGCTGCCCCGAGCGGCCGCGGCGGGGAAGGGAAGAGAGGCTGCTCGTGGGGCAGCAGGGCTCGGCAGGGGTCCTGCAGGTCCCTGCCATGGGCCAGGGGCTCCCTGCCAAGCCTGTCCTGCCTCCTGTTGGGTCCCGATCTCTGCACTCCCATCCCGGGAGGCCCGTTCCTACCAGTCGCCCTCCCTGGAGTTCCCAGCTTCCCGGGGTGCTTGGGTTTGCCCCAGCCTCCTCTTCCAGGCCTCGGGCTCATGGCAGCTGCCGCTTTCTGACCGCAGCGGCGCCTCGTCTCCTGCGCCAGGAAAGCCCGGCTCCTGCTCTTCCAGTTCTCGCAGCACCTGGAGCTCTGGAGACTTGGCTCYACCAACGAAAGCGGTGAGTGGCGCGGCCCCTGTCGCAGAGAACCCCTCTCCTTTGGTCTGTAGCAGAGCCCAGAGCTCCCGAGCGGTCTCCCTGTGAGGCACGGTTCCTCCAGGATCCTTGGTCGCGTCATCTGCGCTTTCCAACGTTACTGATCCGTTGCACGGTTGTTCCTCACCTAAGGAAAGGACGGCGAGGTCCTCCCCGTGTGCCGTGTGCCCGAGCACCTCGTGCAGCTCAAGAGCAAGGTGAGGCCATGTGAGGCAGCAGCTGTGCAGCTCGGGAGGAAGGTGGGGAGATGCCCCAGGCTGTCCCGGCRAGCAGAGGCCGGTGCCGAAGGGCGCCCTGCGCTCTCGCGTGCGGTCTGTCCTAGTGCCCCCATGGGGACCTGCCGTAGCACCCAGCCCCATGGGGGAGCCCCCACGTGGATCTGCCTCCCCCAGCTCTCCCCAGCACTGCGGCCCCGTGTCCGCTGCCGAGGGGGCCTTGGTGTGACAGGACAAGGTGCGGGGGGTGCTGTGGCTGCCCGGCCCCTGCTCAGCCCCTCCGTGGCTCCAGGGTCCGGAGCACATCTACTGCAGCTGCGTTTCGCCCTGCGGCGGCTGGATCGCCTACTCCACAGCCTCCCGCTTCCACCTCTACCGCGTGCGCTACAAGGGKGATGGCGTCAGCATCGAGAAGGTGAGGGCAGCGGTGGCTGGTGCCGCCGGCCTGCGCGGGCTCGAGGCTCGGGGCAGCAGCCACTAACTGCCATCCTGCCTCCTGCACAAGGTCCCCAACGTGCCCAAGCTGCCGCTCCCGGCCTACCAGCTCCAGTGCTCCGCTGACTCCAGCAGCCTCTTCGTGGCCTCCGATGAAGGCTCCGTGCACGTGCTGCAGCTCCTGGAGCCGGGTGGCTGCAAACTCCTGCACACGCTTCGCCCRCCCTCAGGTTGGGGCCGCTGCGCGCGGCGGGGAGCAGCTCCGGGCTCCGTGGGAGGACGCGGGTGTGCAGGTGCCCTGGACAAGCTGTGCAGCTCTGGCGTGTCCCAGCRCTGGGCAAAGCGGGCAGGAGGGAACCGATCCGGGACTGGGTCCCGGACGGCTCCAGCGGGAGGGTGTGTGGCCCTGGGTGGGCTCCRTGGCAGCTGTTGGAGCTGGTGGGTCTCGCAGGGACCCCCGAGGCCGTCTACCTGTTGGCGCCGAGCGCRGACGGGAACTGGCTGGCTGCAGCCAGCGGGGACTGGGAGATCCACGTCTACAGCCTGAAGCGCTTCAAGGTGAGGGCCTGCGCCACGGAGCCGCGCGGATCCCGCTGGTCCCGGCCGCGCTGGGAGGAGACCGAGGGCTCTGCACAGGGCCATGTCCTTGGAGCACCCGCTGCATCCCTGGAGCAGACCTGGGCATGGCTGTGCAGGCAGGGAGGACGAGATCCCAGGAGGGACGGGGAGGAGGCTGTGGTGTGTGAGGAAGAGCACAGGGCCTGTTCACTCCTTTCAGGTTTTATTGTCTCTTTCCTTTCAGCATCACTGCACAGTGCCCACGTACAGCTGTGCCGTGACTGCCCTTGCCATCCACCCTGTGACCAACAACCTCGTCATCGCCTACGCGGACCAGCAGGTAGGAGCGCTTGCTGCCCGCGGCCACTGTGCCCGATCCTCCCGCCCCGCTCAGCCCTGCAGATCCTCCTTACAGCTCCATTCCTGGATCGGAGCTTTCCAGCTGTGCTGCCCCACAGCAGAGCTGCAAATCAGGGCAGAATGGTGTCGGTGATGGAGCCCAGCTGGCCTTGCTGGCTGCGTCCTGACCGTGTTGGTGTGGGGCAATGCCGAGGGGAGGCGTGGGCCTGGTGCGGGTTGGAGCCGGGGGCCTCCYTTCCCTCCTGTCCCATCCCCAGCAGTGCTGGAGAGCAGGGCCGGCAGTCAGGGCCGCCCCATCTCCCTCTCCTGCCCCACAGCTGTTCGAGTTCAGCATCCCCGAGAAGCAGTACACGGCCTGGAGCCGCACGGTGCAGAATGACGGGCTGCACAAGGCCTGGCTCGAGAGGGACTCGCCCATCACCCACATCGCCTTCAACCCCAAGAACCCCTCGCACATCCTGCTTCACGACGTCTACATGTTCTGCATCCTCGACAAGTCCCTGGTGAGTGCGGCCCAGGGCTGCCCGGGGAGGACAGGGGAAGGGGGTGCCCCTGCTGTCCCCTCTGGCTCTGCCATCCGTGCGGTGCAGAGCACTGGGCCACCTGTGCCCCCCTGTCSTGATGGCCAAGGCGGTGGGAGTGCTGGGCCAGCACCAGCCAGGAAAGGGAGGACGTGGGATGCTCCAGGTTGTGGGCACAGGGACCACAGGCATCTAGTGTCCCTGGGACCTGCTTGGGTGGCAGTTCTGCCCCTGCACGTGGCCCCRAGGAGCACAGGGACAGCGGGAGGCTGTGGTGGCTCCGGGCGGCCGCGATGTGCCGTGCGCTGTGCTTGCAGCCCCTGCCCGATGACAGTGCCTCGCTGATGAACCAGAGCGCCCTGAAGCAGCTCCCGGCGACGGCCAGGAAGAGACAGCTCCACGCCTTCAAGATCTGCAAGAAGTTCCAGGTGGGTTTGGTGCATGTGCTGCCTCCGAGGAGGAGGGTGGAGGGAAGTGGGTGCCCTTGGCCCGGGCTCTTGCTGGGGATGTCACCCTGGCACGATCCGGACGCAGCCTTCTGGAGCTGTTCCCGTCGTACAGYAGGGCTCCTCAGTCTCTCTGTCCCCATCCCCATGCTGCCACTTGCTGTGACCGCCCAGGCTCCGGTGTTCCCCACAACTCKCTGCAGCGTTGCAGCTCCCCTAAGTGCTGTCCAAGCCAGCGCAGGCTGCAGGGCAGCTCTGTGCAGTTGAACACAGCAAGCCGAGGCAGAGCAGGGAGGGACGTTGCTCTGTCCCCAGCAGGGCTGTCATCTCCTGTCCCCTCCCTGTCCTGCAGCCTCTGCTCTTCGCCGATCTGCTGGACGAGAACTGCCTGGTGATGGTGGAGCGGCCCATCATGGACATCAAGACCCAGCTGCCACCAGCCATCCAACAGAAGAAATTTGGCACCTGAGAGCAGGACAAGCTGCTCCTGCCACACAGACTGTTGCTTTCCTAGGACGCTGCAGTAATAAAGCCCGTTGTTCTATAGGGCTGTGGGTTCGGGGCTCGTCCTTGCCCGGTGGGGCTCCCGGGCTCCTCCTGTCCTGCTGGGGCTGCTCCGTGGCAGCACCTCGAGGGCCCCTCTCGCCTCACGAGGGACGGCCGGCAGCGGTGGTGGCTCTGGGTGTGACAACCGCAGCTGGCCCGGGTGCGTCCAGCCTCGCGCTGCGGCTGCTGCTTCAGCCTCCTGGAACCAGGAACACGGSAAGAGGCAGAGCCAGCGTTCGAGACGGGGAGAGCTCCTGCTGCTGCTCTCGCTCCCAGCCCCGCAAAGCATTTGACAAAGCCCGGGTGTCAATAAAGGTGGCAGGATGTGGACATCSTGCCGGTGCCTGCAGGGCTCTAGCAGCCGCTTGCTCCCTGCTCCCTGCACRAGTAATTCCTTAATCGGCCGGGAGTGACTCCGGCGGCAGGAGGAGGCTGCTCCTCGGCRGGAGGGTTTCCTTGGCACAAGCTCTGCCTGCTCCAGCAGCTCTCCCGGTGCCGGGGTGGCTGCTGTGCTCCCTGGAGCAGGGCCCGCGCTCCGTTTCCCTCCGTGCCGGGGTGTCCTCAGGCACCCGCTCCCTCCAGGTGTCCCGTTAAAAATAGCGCAGCCGGAGCCGCGTGGGCGGCGGCAGCGCCCGCCCGTGTCCAGCGCCACCGCGCCCGGGGCTGCCGCGTCCC